TCGCTTTACCTTCTTATTCCATGACTAACGGCTGAGGCCAAGAGACATCAAAGGCTCTGGAGAAGGAGGCTGTAATCAGGAGCTGGCAACTGCTGCCTGACCATAGACTCATTATTTGACTTTCAGGCCATAACATTTGCCAGCTGAGGGAGCATAAGAGTTTCAAGACAGTTCATTGAATATTAAATCTCCAAAAACTCAATAGTAAATTTGGATCGTTGTTTTTACCCAAGTCGGAGATAAAAATGAACAGGAAACACGCTGGGGATTTGGGATGTTTCTAATCCACTCTTAAAGAAACACGTATGTTACCAAATTCCTAAAGAACTATGGGTAGTAAGAGCTTCCCACTCTTCAACTAGCCAAATCAGTCTTTTCTAGAGGAAGCTCCAGGACACCTGCAGGGCAGAACAGACTAGAGGACCACATTCAGAATGGAGCCCAGGAACACTGGCAGGAGGCGGCTTCCGGTCCCTGGCAGTGGCGCCCAGGGTGTTTTATGAGATGTGCATGTGTTTGAGATACTGGCCATAAGAGGTTAAGAACACAGGTAACCTGACACCCAAACCTTCCTTTGTCGCCTTCAAGAGCTATCATTTATGAAGGTCTCTAAATCCTCCTTCAGCCTTTTATTTTGAATCAGCATGGCCTCCAGAGGTCATAGGTTCCGGAACTACTCTACCGACTGGGTAAAGACATGCTGCCTTCTACTGCATGAAAGCTTCTTAAATTTCAAAGGGAAAAACACATACAAAAGATATCCTCTTAGTCAAGTATTTCAGGATTTGACTGATTTGTTCTCATTCTAGTTATATCTTCCATCAGAAAATGTGCGGAGGAAGAATTCTTTACAAGAAAAACAAAATATGTATAAAAACACAACTGGCTTCTTGAGTGATAAAGACTTCACACACTGCCCTATATGGATAGACATGGCAATCCGTATTTAAGCAGCTATTTTAATTTTTAACTTGCACTGGCTCAGAAGGAAAGTTCCTAAAGAAAAAGGTCTGTTAAATCCCAGGCGACACTTCAACCAGTATTTAAAAACTTTATGATACTCTCATGTAATAGTAAGCATCAGTCTTTTATCTTCTTTTTAAAATAACCACTGCTGAAAAGAAATACTGCTATAAATCAGGATTAGGTTATCTTTTACTTAAAGAGCCCTCCAAGAGGCGCATTTAATGCCATACAATTTGGAAGCCTAAAAACACTGTTACTGACTAATCTTTTACGAGGTCAAAGATTAAAGGATGGCAAGTGGAGAAACTACTGTGGTGAATTCTCATTCTAAAGAAATACGTCATAAAAAGGCCCGATTTAGAATTAAAACATACAGCTCCTCTCCAAATTTAGACTCCCAAAAGGAAGAGTATGAGGGTAAACGAATTTTTTAAAGTTTACGAATTTCGTACCAGTATAGAGAGTTCACTGGTTCAAGGGGACCTGGCTGCTAAAATAGAGCTGTGTAAAAGTCAAGTGTTCCAAGACTGTTTGGAAAACTTTAGTTGTTTAAAATTAAATGTCAAATTTTCTCAGTGTGCCAGTTCTACATAAGGGCAGTACACAACTGTGAAATAATAACAGATGACAACTAAAGTTGGCTCAATGATTTTCCATAACGGAAAATGCTTGAAAACAGTCAACGGGTCTAAGTAGAAGGTACTGGAACAGGATTGGAATGTGTCCACCATCAGACAGTGAAATCTAGGTAGTCAAGTGGAGTATGAAGCAGAATTATGCAAACATATATCATAAGAATATAGTCTAATTATGTGCTTCATAAAAGTAAAATCTGTAATGCTGTCCCTACTTTTGTCCTATACGATGACTACACGGATGAATCAAACACATCGTAGTATTACTTTAATACTGTACCAGATAAAAAAGAACTTCAGAGGATAGGCATTCTTTAATTTAAATTCAAAGTGATGCCCATAGCAAGAATGGCAGAATTAAGTTGTGAGTTGTTAGGGGGAATGGTGTTTTCCCTTTCCCATCTCACAGGAAAAAATTCAGAAGAGTACTGATACGAGACAGAGATATAACAGCAAAAGGACAGACCCAAACAAGACGACGGTAGCAGGATGCTCAGCCTGAAGCTACAGGGCACTCGAAAAAGAGAAGCTGGTATTATAAGCACAGCTAAGATGCTAGACATTTAATCTTTACAATGTGTGTATAACCTTTGAGAAAGAATTATTATCCCACGCACCACTTTTTTAACTAATGAAGAGAATAACTTCCCAGGTTACAAAGAGAAGGAAATTTGAATTTGAACTCAGGCATGTCTCCAATATCCTTGTGTTTATTACTATTCTGAGCTGATTTTCAGGATACTGATTGGTAAAGAAGAACTCAACTTAAAAATTACCTAAGGATATTTTTTTGGATTAAAAAAAAATAAATATCTTTATTAGAAGAGGAATGTCTTTCTAACCTCTAATCAACTTCACTGTAAAACCAATGCAGGCCAACACTGCATTGGTTCAAAAACTCCTTCTACCACAGGCAGCTAAGAAGCATAAGGCTGTTCTCACTTCACCCACCTTGACTTCCTGATATTTATGAGAGATTTATAGTCTTTCCCTTCTATGAACCTAATGATATCTCTAACATTTTATATTACAAAAAATACACCCAGGATGAAAAGTTTTCTAATAAACCATTTCTCTTTGCGACTTTGGAGCTGAAACAGACCTCCGTTTGAACAAGAGCTTCTATCCCTGAAGATGTATCCCTGTGTATGACATCTCGACAGAGTCAACATGAAGCATATTCTCCAAATTTGCCAGATGACAGACCTTAGGATCCCATCTGCCTGCACATGAATTCAGTGAAGAGTTGTGTTTTATATGGCGATATCGTGTAAGCTCCCTGAGTTGACTTTCCAGACTTGCTTCTTCTCGTTAAGATATCTTGCAGGCACTCTGGTGGCTTCGATCCCCCTAGCACACCTCTTTTCATTTTCTCCTAAGCCTTCATGGTAGTCAGCGTGATGTGCCCCCCAGATTGCCTGTTGGGAATGAAGGAACTGTTCTCCCTTTTGATGGGAATGCTGCTGGAGGGCGGCCCTAGGCTGTCAGTCTTCTTTGGGGACTGTCTTGAGCTGTAAGAAACTGTCTTGTCATGGTCATGCCTTCTTCCAGGGGAGTCTTGCATCCAGTGGCTGATCATTGAGTGGGTATAAAGGTTCCACTCTCGACCCAATGGGGACACCTGAGGGGCCATCCCAGCCCCAGAGTCTCCTGAGCAATAGCTAAGGCCTTCGTTGGGTCTGCCTCACAGCTCAACCCCTCTCTCCGCCCAGTCCTGCTTCCTCTTCCAGATGCTGACCCCAGGAACCGTCCTCATCAACCATCCACCTCCCAACCTCCATCTCAGAACCTGTCCTGTCCTGATAGACTGCTGCACCAGAATGCTGGCTCCACGGCCGTGTCCTCAACTCCCAGAACAGAGCTTCAACATTTGAACAGATGTATAAATCACACACACCAGGCACAGAAGGTCGCATTTGACAGTCAGTTAATGCCACTACTCAAAGGACACTTTTGTAGAGATCAGTCAAGTCCTATTTGGAGCATGTGAGTTTGAGCTACCACACAAGATTTGGTAAAAGTAGACATTAATCAGTTAGTAAGAAGGATGGACCCTATATGACTAGAACGGAGATTAAAAAAAGTAGCAACTTCTCCTCCCCAAATTCAAAGCGCTGGACATACTGGGGATCACGTTCTCTCTCCCAGGAGGAGATGAAGAACCGGTATTATTTCAGTTCTTTGTTGAAAGCGGCCAGGGTACAAAGGATGTTAAGAGATTTGTCTCAAGTTCAACATGAAAAAGAATGTGAAAGGTAAGACAATAATTCAAATACCCTGACTCCCAATGCATTATACCCATTTCCTTAGACACTGATGACCATTCTCAATTTTATTCCGTTACCACATGTACGACAATGTAGTCTTTTAGCCATCAAGTTTAGAAACACCTTTCTATATCAGAGCAGGACTGCTTCTTCACTATGCTCAGGCGAACACACTCCACTGGTTACTACGGTATTAATCTATATGTCTTTCCTACATATCTTTTTAATACGTTAATATATTCTTTATATATTTTTTAAATTAAAAAATTATCCATTCTTAAGAATTTGTAAGTTCTCAGATTTTCAAAGAGTAATAGATAATATTTTTTTGGTGAATTGATCAAATAATATTTATTACATACTACCATAGTTTAAAAAATATGCAAGTAGGAGTCTATAAAATCTATCGTTGTTATTAACTGCCCTGTATACCATATATATCTTTCTTATATTCAGCATAATTGGGGTTAATTTTAGGGCTCAGCCTGAAGGAAAATCATGTTCCCACTAGAAGATGCACTGAGATGAACAATAGACCAGTATCAATAAGGTCCGAGGTCAATTCTTTCTGTCTTTCTCTCTACGAATAATAAGGTTTCAGTCCTGAAAGATGAATATCCTGGGGGTGGGGAGTACGAAGAGTCATCTCTTAACTTTAAAACTAAAGACTCTTTTTGTGACTGTTCCCAAAACTTGTTGATGTTATGTAAGGGTCTGGATTCTGAGAGAAAGGGATATAAAAGCATTTATATTTGTAAAGGAGTTAAAAATCTGTTTTAAAGTAATTTGTTTTTCCCCTATGAGGTATTCGTCTTCCTTCGGTTGTCTGAAATGAAAGGCAGTAGGCACTGCCTGGGTTTGTCGCTGCTTTCGGCTTGGGGCCTCCCTGGGTCTGAGCAGCCGCGTTATCAGCTATAGTGAGACCCCCCTCACTGCTATGGGGAACACTGTGTATTTGTGCAAAATGTAAGGTGATTAAAAATTAAACGCCACATCATAGAGCAAGTATTCTAAACCATCAATCTAGTTAACCCAAAAGAATTTGATAAGGTCTTCCTTATCAAAGGGGAGGAGTCGGGCCAGGCCAGCCAAGCCCAAGCGCATGGAAGCATCAAAGCAAACCATCACTCACCAAAGTGAGACTTCTGGAGCGAGAACTGCTGCTTCGGCTGTCCAAACTGCCCCCTCGGCTCAGGTCATCGAGCCTGCAGCTGAGTGGCAAGTCAGAGTCCATCTCCAAAGAGTCCGACTTCTGGTGGTTTATAGGCATCCCCACAGAAACGTTGGCCAGTGGCTTAATCACAGGAAGTTGGGGAGGGGCCAGTGTCCCATTCTGAACTCGTGGATTACCTCTGGAGAAACCAAGCACAAGTGACAAGGGTTAGTGAGCCTGGAGAGTAAATGCCCTGTCCCCCAAATGAAAGGCTTAGCATGAGTTAGAGTCATCCGGTCTGGACCAGCAAGACAAAGAGAATTAGGAATCCCTAAGTCAGCTTGTTCTGCGATACTCATTTCCATTTCTCCTTTATATCTCGCTTCATTATCAAGATGCTAAAATTATTTTTAAAGAAAGATGGATTTACTAAAAATTACTTTGGTGCAGGCGATTTGGTAGAATAATGTTCTGGAACCTTCCTTTGCACTGAAGGTCTGTTCTTTCATGCTCTTCCACACTCATTCGGGTCTTTTGTGCATCAGACACCACAAAATTATGATTCCTTTTCCAGCTTCATGACAGTTCAGAGTTGAGATGAAGTGCTAATCAATTACTACTGCAGGGAGGCTGACATCTCCAAGATTCTAGACATTTTGGATGCCATGATGCTATTGCAGTTTCTACATAAAATACTAATTAATACTATCTGGAAGTTCATGCTTTTACTTTCAGGAACAAAAACATCAAAACTGTCTCCCATAAGCCCCTCAGTTTCATATAGTCCTCTGACTCTTTTAGCAGGAAATTCAGCATACCCCCTCAACAATAAACAATTGAGTTCAACAAAATCTTCTAGAAGACCAAAGAAGGCTAATAGGGAATAAGGGAATAGGCTTCTGGTTGATTACATATGACCTGACATTATGGCAAGTGAAACAATAGATGCTCACATCCTTCCTGAACTGAAAATACTGCCTTACCAGCCCCTTTAAGAATGCTGAGGGGCATGTGAGCTAAAAAAATATCACAGGGACAAATTGGTGTGTGCGTGTGTGTGTGTGTGTGTGTGCGTGTGCGCACGCACACTCATTTGTGTATTAATTTGTAACAGAAATGTGACCATTTGTCAAGAAAGCCCAATAGGTATTGAACACCTTTAGGAGGACCTTGTCGTTTAGGACTTCAAAAGTCACTGTGAAGCCTCAGAGAAAACCTGAAGACATTAGAACATTAAAAAGAAACTGTTCACTCTCTAGTCCATTTCTCGTCACCTTCAGGTGTATCAGCACAAGGCGTATGGCAATTTAAGAGCAAGGCGAGGGAACTGAGGCTTCTGAGCATGTACACTTTCTGTAACCTGCCATTATTCCAATGGTAAAAAAAGACAAGAAAATGTTAAGAGTTAAAAGTTTAATAATAAGAAAGCCTATAAGCAATACACAGCCTTTATATAAACTGTACATAGCCAACAATATGCAACTCAGTTCAGATGTCCATGGTGAAATTCTCCACAGTATTCAGTCTAGTAAGTTAAATGTGAAATATGAATCTAATACACACACACACACACACACACACACACACACACACACACACACACTGGACATATAAGTGTGCTGATAACAGTGGCCGGTAACAACGCAAAACAAAGGCAGACGTGGGCGTCACAGCTACGCCCCTGAGACGTGTGAGCAGCTGGGCCCGGGAAAGGTGGGACAGGAAATGCAGAGAGGATGGGCTGATGCTGGGATTCCTTCTGGTCTGCAGATTCCTGCCCGCTGACTCAGCTCTAATTCATTCATGAGCTAAGTAAATCGCTGCTGCAGGAAAGGAAGGGGACATGGGACAGTAAGTCTCCCCCCACACAACAGGGGGATGAGAGATGGGGAGTGAATACTGATTCACCTCACCGTGAAGGAATGCAGGGACCATTGGTGGGTGGGAAGGATTTGGGGTTCGGCCCCAGGTCTGCGCAGTCAGTGCCACAGGCTGGCTGAGCCCCGGCTGGCCGTGTGGGCAGGCAGTGCTGGTTCCCACACCGTCCGACGGTCCACCTTTTGCTTGTGTTACCATAATTTTAAAAGCTATTCTGATACTGTAAAACTATAATACTTAGACGTCTATAAAACATTCTCTTGAAAGAATATGAGGAAACTAACCAGAATTTTCCAGAAGGCAGAGGTTATGGGGGAGACAGTGAAAACTTTGGTTCATTATCCCACACAGGCTCGAGACGGCAATCTTCTTTTATCTCTTAAGGAACTGAGAACTAGGGGCTCCCGAGTATCAGCTCCCAGGAACGAAAAACATAGCATTCCGTGGGAGGTCCACGGCGGGGAGGGCCGTTTTCTGAAGAGGAAGGGCAAGGACGCAGCCTTCTTCTCTGGGCAGCCCTGGAAAGGAACACGGTGAGATAAGGAAGCATGGGACAAGGAGCAGACAGGTCCGCCAGCTGTGCGTCTATGAAGGTCACTTACTACCTCAAATATTTGGTCTCCTTGTCTAATCAAGGGATCACTTTTTGCGTCTGCAAACAGTGCACTTCATAAAGAGTGAGACCAGGGTCAGACTAAGATAGCCCTGTAAAGAAGAAACTGACTTCCACCAGGAGAGCAGAACATGCGTCACTGAGAAGGCTCAACAGGCCTAACGCTGCAGGAGGAAGATGGGCCACATGCGCTCATTTTCTGTTTATTCGCTGTGTTTATTTCTCATTGTTTATTATTAAGATCCTTTTTTTTTTGGCAATGTCTAGTTTATTCGTTGAACAAAGAGAACAAGGAGAAGGTGACAGTGATTTGCAATCTTAATAAATCTACATCTGCCGAGCATGGCTGGTCAGGAGACAGCAGCTACTGGACGGAGCCAAAGGTGCCGGGGGGTCTGGTGGGCTGTGGTCAGTTAGGCAGGTGAACCCCCTAAGTGAGTGCGCTGGAGCCAAGAGAGGAAGGCAGCTCCTCTTCCTCATCTTCCCCTGCACATTCCAGAAGGCCCTCAGATGACCCTGGTGGCATGCGTAAAGCCCTCCTTCCCCCAGCGCCCAACTCCAAAAGCCACAGTCAGGTTGACAGAGCAGCCCAAGTAACTCGATCTTTCCATCATTCACCTCAAAACTCTGCTTTCGCCAAACCCCTAGGCTGAATTATGCCAGCTGAAGACCTGTCCACAGGCAGGGTGGCTGTCAGCTTTGTCACACACTCTTCCCTTTTCCCGCCACTGACAACTAGCCAGCTGCCGAGCCTGTTGATTCTTCCTTTCTAGTCCCACTCGTTCCCGAGCATTTCACCATATGCCTCCATCACTGTGAGAGCCATCTAGCTGTTCTTGCTTTCCCACCCTTCTCTGAACTTCTCCTGTATTCTTCCGCTGGATTAATCTTGAAACACCACTTTGATGTCACCACTCTCCTAAAAGCAATCCACTTTAACCGGCTCCCCGTAGCCTTCAGAATCAAAGTTTCATCCTATCATTCAGTACTTGTTTCAGTTTGAGCCCTAGCTTCCTTTACAGACTCATACGGACTCGGGAGCACAGAGGAAGGTGTGCCCACACTTCCTGGGAGGGTTCAGAGACTCCACAGAAAGGTGACAACTAGGCCAAGCCCTACCAGATGTTTCAGATTTAGGGAGACTGCTAATTAAACAAACTGTAATGGGCAGTCCCAGAGAGAAAAGGAATAAGCAAAGGAGGGGCTCTCTGGCCCCAGTTCCCAGGAAATACTAGTACAGAACTCCATGGGAGGTCTGCTGTGGAGAGGGCTTTTTGATGGTTTCACTTTTCATATTTAAATAGCTGATCCAACTTGAATTTTTATTAGTGTAGAGACCAGCTTCCCCACCCCCAAGCCAAGAAGGCTACCTGATTACTCAAATGCCAAGTGTTGAAAAGTTCATCTTTCCATTGTCTTAAAATACTCAGTTATTTTATACCCAATGTTTATATGTTTTAGATTCTATTTCTGAACTTCCCATTTTCCATTGATCCTTCTATTCACTAGGACTCAAAAAATACAAATCAAAAAATAAAAAAATTCAAAAAAATTCAGTGAATCTGCTTACATAAAAATTAAGGACACCTCAGACAATATTAACAGAAAGTGGCAGGCTGGTAGAAGATGTTTACTATGTCTAAGAAAAGGAATTGATAGCTAGAATATATGCGAAGCTCTTGAATTATAACTTTTCCATTTATATAAATTTCATTTATATAAATTTAAAACAGACACAACACTGTATTTCACATCCATAGCCAGGAACACGTGCCGATGGCGGGGACAGGTAGGTGAGTGGGGGCCACAACTTAATTGTCCTAGAGTCTCATTTGGTCTGTCATTCACTGCAGAGGACCAGCTTGCCACACACCTGACTCCTACCTCTGAAGGTGTGAAGAATCACGACTTAGATCATTTTATCGTGCAAGAACCTTCGACAGGCCCACTATCTAAAGAGATGATACAGGACAGGAGACGAGAAGACACAAGCAATCTCGGAACCTGGGGCAACGGGGACGGA